ACTACTACTGACCAACGCTAACAGACTACCTATTGTTTAAAAGGCCCTCTGGTGGCGCAAGAAGACGGATTTTATAAAATAAAAAGCAGTTGAAACTGCATTTTTATGAATAAAAATTTGACAAACTATCGTTTTATGACGAGTAAAATTTTTTCGTCGCGTTCGCGGCTTTTAAGTAATGCATAAACCTTCGAAACGCGAGGCATAGGCGGTGGCCCACGTTGCCCATGCCTTACGATGCCCTTGGTCATAGAAATGATGTAATTTGAAAATAAAATTATTCATAAATACGTATGTCAAGTTATATTTTTATTACGACGCAAAATATTTTTAAGAGTTTACGGCCACTGTGCCGGGTGAGACGTTGTTGAAACAAAAAAAGTTATGCATTCCATCACGTACTGGTACATAAACAGTATCGTAATTCGCCAAGTGCAAATCAGCAAATTCGTAAAATTTTTGTTTATTTTGAACAATCCGGATAATCGAGGTTCTACTGTACATGCATAAACTGTAATTTACTGGTAGGTCGAGAACACGCATTCTACTTTGCATATAAAATGAAACGAATCATGAAACAAATGATCTCGCCATGATAGATTATAAAAATTTTCCTATGTAATTTTGAACTGTAATAAACTATTGCCAAACTTAGTCAATTTATTATCGTTTGGCCCGAGTATTCCAGCTTTTGCTTTTGTAAAGTTTTCTCTCTTATGATCATGTTTTGGACGAAAAACTGAAAAAAAACTGTTCCATGAAATTAATACCGTATTTACTCGCACATAAGACGAGGTTTTTATCTATTTCTCACTGCTTCAAAAACCTAAGTTATCCTATATATGCGAGCGAAGGATTCTTTTCATTTTTGTATAATTTTTGTAAACTATGTATTCGCATATTTTACCGGATTCTCATCTTCTAGTCTTTAAAAACAAAAGTATTTTATATGGGTCGTTTGAATTGTTATTGTGTATTGCCAGGAGTAACGATGAATAGCAATAGGAAAAGCAAAGCTTTTGAATTGAATTTCAAAATTACACAGGAGCCCTCCCGATATAAGTTTTTATCCATTCCCACGAGAAAACAGATGATTATTTGCAAATTCGAAGAAACTCATAAGTGTAATCGATGAAGAGTGAATTTGACTGTTAAGAATTGGCAAAAAGTTCCCACTTGTCCAGCTTTACATGAACAAATTATATTGTCGATTTTACAAGATTTTTCCTTGAAGTTTAAAATGCCAGTAATTTTTGCGGGATAATGTATGCGTTTACGCGCATTTGATATTTTTGTTATTAAACGAAATAAAATTAGAATTGTATTAATAAATCTAATTCTTTATTTTTGATCTTTAAAGTCACATCCGTCCTATATGCGAGATCGTCTTATATTCGAGTAAATACGGTAAATAGTGAATTGATAATTAAGTTAATTCAAAGGAGTCCTGTCAATGTAAAGCTGGACAATCGGAAAATTTTTTTGCCAATTCTTAACAGTCGAATCCACTCTCTGTTTGTCCGAACTCTGACTTACGAATAATCACCTGTTTTCACGTGGGAATGGATTAAAACGTATATCGGGTTTTCATGTTAGTTTGGAATTTCAATTTGGAATTCAATTCAAAAGCTTTGCTTTTCCTACTGCTATTCATGTTTACTCCCGACAATACACAAGAACGATTCAAACGACTCAGATAAAAGAGTTTTGTTTCTAAACACAAGAGGGTGAGCATTCCGTAAAAAAATGCGAATACACGGTTTACAAAAATTATAGCAAAAACGCAAAGAATCGTTCGCTCGCACGTATAGATTTTTGAAGCAGTAAAAAATGAATAAAAACATCGTCTTATATGCGAGTAAATACAGTACTGTATGTTTTAAAAATAAATTGTTTCATATGAGTGATTTTCATCGAAAATCCCCCATTTTCTACTAGCATGTCCTCCAAAGAGGTTTTTTTTTTTCAGTTGGTAACCCTAGGTCAAACCCATAATGGGCTTGCTAAAAGGTCCTTTTAGTGCTCAGAGGGCAGAGGCGTTTAAGAAAAAAGTCTGAGATCACATGTTCAATTTTTATACAAAATTATGCAAAAGTTTGGCTGTATTATAGATTACCACCTTCGGAATTTCGGGACTTTGAGTATATATTTGAACTCGGGACCGAGACGAGTTCAACGGTACCCTACTTTTGGACCGGAGACGAAAAATAAGAAAATTATCATATTTACAATTTCTTGTCTTTTACAATGCATTCTACGCCATTTTAGTTTTCCACTAGGTGGCGCGTTCGACTGTTCGTGCTCCCGACGGACCTCCCGGAGGGGGCCACCGAGTGTTTAACGTCACCAGTTATTGATTCACGGTAGTTCTTGAACAAAAGAAAATAAAAGAAGTGGCGTTCGACTGTTCGTGCAATTTCTTGCCTTTCATAGTGCTTTTTTTTTTTTTAATGGTTTGCAGACTTTACCGCAAGATGGCGGCACTAGCAACTACGGTGTCGTCTGCATGATAACATTAAAAAAGTATGATAACTTTCTTATTTTTCGTCTCCGGTTCAAAAGTAGGGTATCGTTGAACTCGTCTTTGTCCCTCAGTTCAGATATATACTCGAAGTCCCGAGATTCCATAAATGGTAATGTATATAATCCCAAAAGTTTTATTAAACATTAATTAAACAATGTATTTTATATTCTTACAGTATAATGTAAATGGTTGGTTGGTCGAGCGGTCAAAGTAACAGCCTGCATCTCTGGAGGACCCGGGATGAATCCGAACAGGTCGAAAAATTCCCAGGAAATTTTCGGGGGTTGGTCCGTCCGGATATTTCTAGCCGTGCCCCTCACCATCCGACTGTCCCGTTCTGTGCCTGGCCGCCCCCATACTGGGCTTGCTAAAAGAGGCTCTCTTAGTGCCCACAGGGCGGAAAGTGCAAGGAAGTAAGGCCCACCAGTGGCCAAGCGGTTCCATTCCCTGAACACTGGTCGTGGGTTCGCGCCTCGCCCGAACAAGCTGGCCACGAGAAGTTTTCCGAGTTTTCTCACGTCGATGACACCTAAATTTAGGGACCTGTTTCCCTTAAAACAGACTTCCCGGAAGGAATCCCCTAGGCAGATCGCCCAAGTGTTGCGTTGCCATAACTAAAACAAACAAACAGCAAGAAAGTATAATATAAATTATATACAATAAATAATATATTACAATACGAAAATTATGTATTTTGTATAACATTTCTACAAAAATACATAAATTTTTTCTAGGTTAATTTTTAAAACTAATTCTTTAAATGTTCGACTAGAGAAGTGTCGATGGTCTGAATTAATTGAGATCGAATATTTTCGTACCGTAATAGTTACGTAATAATAAAAGAGTAAAATAATAGAAATTTACACACACACAAAAAAAACACATAAATAAATCAAATTAGATAATATCTGTCGTTTTTTAATAAAATTGTTGACTACGAGATTTTTTATTCTGAAGTCTGGCAACACTGCATAAAGGAAATTGTGTTTATTTTGGTTACGGTGTTCGTGTTCGAGTGTAATTTCATTTCAAATGGAAAAGAAAAGTAAGAATCATAAGAATATGGGCAAATTTGAACGGGTTAAAAATAATCAATTTGCAGCCAGTTTTCCAAAGCAGTAGATTATTTTAATTTGTTTATTTTTTAATTATGAATATTATCAAATGTATATTTTGTTTTTCAGATTTTAATAAATTTCAAAAAAGTTATGAATGTAAAAAGGAACCAGAATTGGATTGCAACTGTGAGAAAAAAGAAGAATGGGACTGCACAATTCATGGACTCTCTGTTGATGTGCAAGTGCAGGTGAATATTAATCAAAGACTACATCTACAAAATTCTTATGACATGAAGTAATATGAGAATTTTTTATTGGAATGGTATGATGTAGTAATATAAATATCATATATTAATAAAAACACTGTATTTTTTTAATTTACATATATATTTATTTTAAAATGAAGTAACTGTTTTTTTTTTTTTTATCAGGAAGCATTAATTGAATCTGATTATCAGTCCTCGCCTAATTTACCAGAGAATCTCTCCATCCGACCGTCGTCGATACCTGGAGTTGGTTATGGAATTTGGTCCAACACAGAAATTCCCAAAGAAGTTATTTTTGGTCCTTATGAAGTTCTTACGTATCAAAATATCGATTCGGGACAAAAGAGTGAAGTATGCTCTAATAGATGTCTTTGAAGTTATTTATTTATTTATATTTAGTTTTCTATAGCTGAAAATTAGTATATATTAGATCAAATTCTTAAATGCTGAATGATACTAATGAATGAATATGGTTGAATATTTCTGGTTGACTTTGATTTTTTATTGCAGGCAATAAAACATAATTGGTAAAAAGTTAATTACTGAAAATGTTTGCTTTATACAATCTTATTTCAAAACAATTTTGTTTGAATGAAAATATTTAGGCTTATCTTCAATGTTCATTAATTGGATATATCAAAACCAGATTGTTAAATATGTTACATTGGCAGTCAGTTATCGTGTAATTGTTCCATAGAAGCAAGAATAGATTAGTATAATGATTGACACTGCCAAGATTGTACAAAAATGTAATCTTGACAAGTACAATTGCTGTTTTCATTTAAATTCCACACAACCAATTTCTGAAGAAGTAAACGTGTTAATATGACTAGACAGTGTAAGTGTTATCTATAGTATACTGTTTAGCTGCAATAAATGTTAAGGTCAAGTATTTTTGACAGTTCTTTCAGCTAGTATGGAAGCTCCTAGATCTGTTCAAGTTGTAATGTGAATGTGCTATACTTTGAGAATAATAGCATATGTTGCCAACTAGTTAGATAACACAAATGTGCATTACTTTTGTTTGTTAAGTGCTATTTAGAGGAAAAATGGAGCTTATGGAAGAAATGCTCAAAGAGGTATTAATTAAAGGCAAAAAAAGAACATTCTCAAATAGTATACTAGATATCTTCCTCCTAGCATTGAGGTCCTGCTTCTATGCAGGGTCTACTTTCTTGCATGCCCTTCTCCATTTGGTATGGTCCAAGGTGTTGCCGGGGTGACGTTCACCGTTCTCATGTCATCTTGCAGTATACTAGATATGATATGTGTGAAAGTAGCCAAGGTTACGGAGTAAGTAGTACTCGAGTAACACTTACAGGCACTAGTCGGTAAGACCAGCTCTCAGTCGTCCAAAGNATTACACATTTAAATCAAAGTTAATATAAACATAATTTAATTAACAAATTAACTTAAAAATTATATATTTTTGAAGTCCATTATAACCGGACTAATTTTGATAACAATGTAATAAACTTGGTAGAAATAGTGTTATTCTGAGTGCTGATGTAAAACTTATATTCGGCACAACACCGCTGAAAGGTTGCTGAGCCCTACCTTATACCCCATTCGCACCGAGCATTTCGATCTAGATTGTGACTAAGGTCGGAGCCTGTTCCGTGGTGCGAATGCTCTCGATTGTTTCAATCTCGACTGAAACGAGGTTCAATCGCGATCGACTGGAGAGAGTTCTCGAAACTAGATCCAGTCATAAGAGAGATCCCACGATCCCACAATCCCACACGCGCGAGAAAATACAAGATGGCTGTGGAACACGTGTTGGGCTATCGACAGAGAAATAAAAAAGACATCTGGAGAGACGACAACATCTGTCTATTATTATATGTATGGCAAGAAAAAGTATTTATTTCTAACCAAAACTTCCATTTTGTTTGTTGGTGTTTGTGACTTACCGTGTAGTTATGTCAGTTTTATGATCGTGTGTAATAGCCAGGTTCTTCTCGAGCGGACTGCCTGTGCGAACAGCACGACATTCAACTTCCGTGTAATCCAGATTGTAGGTAAATCGAGATTGCAGTGAGTCGTGGATTGTGTGTGAACGTAGTATTAGAGTAAGCAAGAAAATATTGCATGCTGCTCTGGGGCTCATTTAGCCTTCATTGTAATGAGTACAATACCTTCTCAGTGGTGAAAACAATTGGGGGGGACACTTTTGGAGTCAATCTGGTCCAAGTTTACTCTAATAATTCAAATTGTGTATACAAACGAACTGTAGTGATCTGATCAATCTCTATCCTCATATACAAATGTCATCTAGGATTAACTGGATCATGACCAAACATACCAAGTAGAGGGTAGGATCATTTGTATCTGATAAAAAACAAAGATTAGTGATGGCAACCTCCGTGGCTAAAGTCAAGGTTGACAACAAAAAAAATATGTTTAACTGTCAACAATGAAAAGTATTTAAAACTAATGATGTTTTTTACTTATCATATTTATTAAAATATCCAATAAACTGAGATGAAAGAATAAGTATTAAGAGACAATTCTGCTAGATTGTATGACAAGAATGCATGGAAGTGTACTCTCATTTTGCTGTTTTGTGAACAGTTTTATTTACAGAGTAAATACAATTTGATTCTACTTATATACTTTCTGCTGACTGACACACACAACAGAAGCAATCTGTATCATGTGACAAAGAATGATCCAATTTTTCAGATCGAAACATTGAAATGATGGGAATATGCAACCCTGGAAGGTGACATGACAGACTGTACAGTAACATCCGGCATGATTTCTAGTTTTGATAACCAATATCAATACTGGTATTGGTACTTTAAAACTGTTGTGGTATTGAGACCAGTATCATAAAAAAGTATCTATACATCCCTACTCTTGTCACATTATCTTGATTTCAAACCTTGTCAAAAAGCAATTCTCATAATATAGTTTGTCATGCTGTGGTTAAATCTTGATGATTTTACTTATTTGTCTAAAAGAGGAATTTTTAATTTCCTTTATCCAAATTGTTACATTTTGTACCTAAAAACCTTTTCAGTTTGCATTAGACAGGTTTCTTACTTATAGTAAGATTTTGATATAGAAATTGCTCCATTATAAAGATTTTTTCCATTTAGGTTTTACTGTATCAAAATTCAAACTTTAACTTATGAATAAATTCTTAACATATCTTGACAAACTACTAGGTGCAGCCAAAAAGTTCCAGGACTGGTTTAATAAATTGTTTGTACATATTAATTTATTCAGAGTTGTCACTTTCAAAATAAGTTCCTTATGTAGCTCTACATAGATTTCAGCAATTCTTCCAATTTTAAAAACATTTCTGGAACTTTTTTTTAAGAACTTGCTGTGATTGTTTGAATGCCATCAATGTTCTGACATTGCTGTCCTTTCAGCACTTCTTTTTCAGCTGTGGAAATAGTGTCACATGGTGCCAAGTATGGTGAATAAGGAGAATGGGACACCACGGACGTTTTATTTTTGGTAAGAAACTGTTGAATAGGGATAATTGTGAGTGGGGTGTTGTCATGATGAAACAACCTGCTCTAAGATTTCCAAAGGTCTGGTCTTCTGACATTTTCATGCAAGTGCCTCAAAACAACCATATAAAAATTTTTATTCATAGTTTTGACCTAGTTGAACAAATTTTTAGAGAATAATTCTCCAAAAAAACTACTCCCTATAAAAAAAAAACAAAGATCATGTTCTTGAGATTGAACTTCACTTGGCGTGCTTTCTTTAGTATGGGTGAGCCACAATTTTTCTACTGAGTCAATTGTTGTTTGGTCTCGGGGTCATAGCTGTAAATTCATGTTTGTCTTCTGTAATCACTGCTGTTTGTCTTGTTAAGTTTGAAACACAATTTTACACTCATTCACTGTTCCTTAAAAGAATTCATTCTACAAAGTAATAAAAATTGTAAATTGTTGAGAACATGGGATCTAATCTAAATAGCAAGAAACAAAATACTACACAAGATAATGGCACGAAATTTGGTGAGAAGTTAAATAATATCTATCATATATGCATCCTAGTTTGTGCAAGTTTAGCACATGGTTTTAAATATTTAATTTTTATTTTCCAATAAGTTTTCTGTATACAATAGAACATAAAGCCGTCCTCAGCTTAAGGTAAAAATATTTGATCAAAATAAAATAATTTTGAAAATATTAATTTCAAATAAAATTCTGTACATTAAAAATTAATATTTGATATAATAATTTGATATAAACCTTAATTTCAAATAAAATTCTGTACATTAAAAATTAAGGTTTATATCAAATGTACTGTACATTTTTCTTTTGTTAGTAGTAAAATTTGAATAGATTTAATTCAACAGTACTGTATTACTAAATTTATGCAATATTCTACTTTACATTATGGAAAAGAAAAAATTTGAAATTTATAATGATAAATACATTATCTTTAAATTAATAGCATATTATAGAAAACTGATTTTTGGACTTTCATATTTTAATTTATACTTTGGGTTCAATTAGTAAAAATCAGCTTTCATTTTTAAATAAAATTTTTTAAATTTATAACTTAAAAGAAACTGTTTTTGAAATTTGTACATAATTTTTTTTCAGTACTCTTCTTCGTCATTATAGTCTCTCTCTGGGGGCAGGGCCTCTGTGGTGCTCCTGATGTACCCCATGCCACCAACGTCTGTCTCCTTATCACAGAGGGCAGTGGTGTGGGGAAAAAGAAAGTGCCCCCTGTTGTTCACAAGGTACCATTTAATGTAAGTGTAGAAATAATGTGATACTTTAGCCTTGACTGAAATTCAAAATTTCAATTATAACTATTGTGATCTCTTAGAAAGAAGAAATAATCACACAATCTAATCAGGATGCAGTTTTGCTAACATTTCAGTTCCACTTATCTGAACATACCGTTGTAAAATGGGATACCATATTATGGCAAAACAAACTTTACATTCAATTGCCTAATGGATTCATGCCAGAAGGATCCAAGGAGGCGTAAGTATCCTCCTTAAATTAATTTTTTTTTTACATAAAATTAAAATAATTGATGAGATGTCTTTAAATGACAGATTTGTGACTCTGCTGGAATTTTCAGAAGAACAACTTCAGTGTAACCATGTAATTGTGTGTTTCAGCAAAAGTCGTACAGATAGAGGTATTTTTACTTGGATTGTTTTTTCATTATGTAAATTTTATGAGTTTTTAAAATTTAAATTTTTTTTTCCAGCTGTTCTCATCAGAACTTTCATGTTCTTTGGTTTTATTTGTGTGGTGCCGGGTCATGAATTGATTCCAAGTAATGCTTCAGAAGATACATTATACATGGTTTATACTATTGATTGATCAGTGTAGTTAGAACTGGATTGGAAATTGGGCATATTCTTTTACCCCACATTCTCTCCAAAGTATGTCTGCTATTTCAAACGGCAGAATAAATTAATTGCAAAATTTATATTTGCGTAATATTTATCCCCGACCACTGCCACTTAAAACAATTTAAGAATTTTAACAATGCTCAATTCTTATTATTGGCATGTTTTTATTCAAATGTTTATAATTTTAGGGACCAAACTGAACTAATTTGTCTAATATTTAGATGTTTTGATTAGCATTTGTTCTTTGGAGAAAATTCTGCCTGGAAACAGTATACTGATTGTTTTATAGATGGTATATTCTTATTATTTGAATATTTAGTATAGCTTGAGAATGTATTAAACTTAATTTACTTGTATGTTTGTCTTTAATTAAAAGATTTCAAACTTTTATATTACTGGAAAGGAATTTCATTTTAATGTAATAAAATTAATTTTAAATTAACTTTTTGGAATTTTTCATTTACCAAGTGGAAGATATCTTTGTAATTAATGAAGTAATGATCATAATAAAACAAATTTTTTAATGATTAAAATATTATAACCATATTTTTACAAAAAATTCTAATGTTTATTTACATTTTCTTTATATATAAAATAAGAGAATTTTTTTGTTTTTCATACAAAGTAAGAACAACCGTTACATAACAATTACTTGAATTTGTATATAAATTATAATTGGATTAATAAAATATCGTAAATAAAAATTAAAATATGGTATACTAATTTAAATAACAATTAACAATTACAAATAGTTTTCAATACATTCATCCTTAATACGGAAAGTAAGATAGACTAGTTGAATCTGGAATCCACCATGATGAAAAATATTTTGCCCTGGAAGGAGTGCAATGCAAAATATATACATACTGTATATCATATTTAAAAACAATGATATGTATCACTGTCCTATTAAAGATGCTATTAAAGAAATTATAAAAGCATATTTATTGAAAAGAAATAAATGAAGTACGGACCGTGGTCATGTGACATCGACAAGCGAAGTTAGCTTAACTGATCACTTAAGGATTAATACCGCTACTTGTATACGGAATCGGTTTTTTTTTTTTTTTTTTTTGGTTGGTAATGAACTTCTAGCTATGCAGCCCCGGCAAGAATCGGACTTGCTTTCAAGAAACTTTCAGTATCTCCAGATGTTTAAGTTTTCTACACAAATTTTTTAAAAAGTAGCCACTTGGAAAACGGATTCCTATTTGATAAATAACCTGAGATTTGACGAGAAAATCTAATATCTTTCGTACTTTTCCAGCAATAACTTCAATCACGGAACAAACGTTTTCGGCAAATTTATAGACATCTAAATTGCCACAAATAAGAATCGCAAGACTCAAAATACAGTAGAACCTCGATTATCCGGACTAATTGGGGATGAAGGTAGTCCGTATAAGGAAAAATTCAGATAATCGAAACAAATACTGTACTTTAATTTGTCTTTTAATGATGATACAACACGTTTTCTTTTCGATGACATATCGGTAATATTAAAAGTAAATACTATTTTTAAAGTTTAATTAAAAGCAAATACTGTATTTAAATCGTGATCAAATTTTCAAGAAACAAACGTTCGTATAGAATTTTGACTACTGACCAACGCTAACAGACTACCTATTGTTTAAAAGGCCCTCTGGTGGCGCAAGAAGACGGATTTTATAAAATAAAAAGCAGTTGAAACTGCATTTTTATGAATAAAAATTTGACAAACTATCGTTTTATGACGAGTAAAATTTTTTCGTCGCGTTCGCGGCTTTTAAGTAATGCATAAACCTTCGAAACGCGAGGCATAGGCGGTGGCCCACGTTGCCCATGCCTTACGATGCCCTTGGTCATAGAAATGATGTAATTTGAAAATAAAATTATTCATAAATACGTATGTCAAGTTATATTTTTATTACGACGCAAAATATTTTTAAGAGTTTACGGCCACTGTGCCGGGTGAGACGTTGTTGAAACAAAAAAAGTTATGCATTCCATCACGTACTGGTACATAAACAGTATCGTAATTCGCCAAGTGCAAATCAGCAAATTCGTAAAATTTTTATTTTGAACAATCCGGATAATCGAGGTTCTACTGTACATGCATAAACTGTAATTTACTGGTAGGTCGAGAACACGCATTCTACTTTGCATATAAAATGAAACGAATCATGAAACAAATGATCTCGCCATGATAGATTATAAAAATTTTCCTATGTAATTTTGAACTGTAATAAACTATTGCCAAACTTAGTCAATTTATTATCGTTTGGCCCGAGTATTCCAGCTTTTGCTTTTGTAAAGTTTTCTCTCTTATGATCATGTTTTGGACGAAAAACTGAAAAAAAACTGTTCCATGAAATTAATACCGTATTTACTCGCACATAAGACGAGGTTTTTATCTATTTCTCACTGCTTCAAAAACCTAAGTTATCCTATATATGCGAGCGAAGGATTCTTTTCATTTTTGTATAATTTTTGTAAACTATGTATTCGCATATTTTACCGGATTCTCATCTTCTAGTCTTTAAAAACAAAAGTATTTTATATGGGTCGTTTGAATTGTTATTGTGTATTGCCAGGAGTAACGATGAATAGCAATAGGAAAAGCAAAGCTTTTGAATTGAATTTCAAAATTACACAGGAGCCCTCCCGATATAAGTTTTTATCCATTCCCACGAGAAAACAGATGATTATTTGCAAATTCGAAGAAACTCATAAGTGTAATCGATGAAGAGTGAATTTGACTGTTAAGAATTGGCAAAAAGTTCCCACTTGTCCAGCTTTACATGAACAAATTATATTGTCGATTTTACAAGATTTTTCCTTGAAGTTTAAAATGCCAGTAATTTTTGCGGGATAATGTATGCGTTTACGCGCATTTGATATTTTTGTTATTAAACGAAATAAAATTAGAATTGTATTAATAAATCTAATTCTTTATTTTTGATCTTTAAAGTCACATCCGTCCTATATGCGAGATCGTCTTATATTCGAGTAAATACGGTAAATAGTGAATTGATAATTAAGTTAATTCAAAGGAGTCCTGTCAATGTAAAGCTGGACAATCGGAAAATTTTTTTGCCAATTCTTAACAGTCGAATCCACTCTCTGTTTGTCCGAACTCTGACTTACGAATAATCACCTGTTTTCACGTGGGAATGGATTAAAACGTATATCGGGTTTTCATGTTAGTTTGGAATTTCAATTTGGAATTCAATTCAAAAGCTTTGCTTTTCCTACTGCTATTCATGTTTACTCCCGACAATACACAAGAACGATTCAAACGACTCAGATAAAAGAGTTTTGTTTCTAAACACAAGAGGGTGAGCATTCCGTAAAAAAATGCGAATACACGGTTTACAAAAATTATAGCAAAAACGCAAAGAATCGTTCGCTCGCACGTATAGATTTTTGAAGCAGTAAAAAATGAATAAAAACATCGTCTTATATGCGAGTATATGTTTATATATGTATATGTTTATATGCGAGTATATGTTTATATGTTTATATATACAGTACTGTATATGTTTAAAAAATAAATTGTTTCATATGAGTGATTTTCATCGAAAATCCCCCATTTTCTACTAGAATGTCCTCCGAAGAGGTTTTTTTTTTTCAGTTGGTAACCCTAGGTCAAACCCATAATGGGCTTGCTAAAAGGTCCTTTTAGTGCTCAGAGGGCAGAGGCGTTTAAGAAAAAAGTCTGAGATCACATGTTCAATTTTTATACAAAATTATGCAAAAGTTTGGCTGTATTATAGATTACCACCTTCGGAATTTCGGGACTTTGAGTATATATTTGAACTCGGGACCGAGACGAGTTCAACGGTACCCTACTTTTGGACCGGAGACGAAAAATAAGAAAATTATCATATTTACAATTTCTTGTCTTTTACAATGCATTCTACGCCATTTTAGTTTTCCACTAGGTGGCGCGTTCGACTGTTCGTGCTCCCGACGGACCTCCCGGAGGGGGCCACCGAGTGTTTAACGTCACCAGTTATTGATTCACGGTAGTTCTTGAACAAAAGAAAATAAAAGAAGTGGCGTTCGACTGTTCGTGCAATTTCTTGCCTTTCATAGTGCTTTTTTTTTTTAATGGTTTGCAGACTTTACCGCAAGATGGCGGCACTAGCAACTACGGTGTCGTCTGCACGATAACATTAAAAAAGTATGATAACTTTCTTATTTTTCGTCTCCGGTTCAAAAGTAGGGTATCGTTGAACTCGTCTTTGTCCCTCAGTTCAGATATATACTCGAAGTCCCGAGATTCCATAGATGGTAATGTATATAATCCCAAAAGTTTTATTAAACATTAATTAAACAATATATTTTATATTCTTACAGTATAATGTAAATGGTTGGTTGGTCGAGCGGTCAAAGTAACAGCCTGCATCTCTGGAGGACCCGGAATGAATCCGAACAGGTCGAAAAATTCCCAGGAAATTTTCGGGGGTTGGTCCGTCCGGATATTTCTAGCCATGCCCCTCACCATCCGACTGTCCCGTTCTGTGCCTGGCCGCCCCCATACTGGGCTTGCTAAAAGAGGCTCTCTTAGTGCCCACAGGGCGGAAAGTGCAAGGAAGTAAGGCCCACCAGTGGCCAAGCGGTTCCATTCCCTGAACACTGGTCGTGGGTTCGCGCCTCGCCCGAACAAGCTGGCCACGAGAAGTTTTCCGAGTTTTCTCACGTCGATGACACCTAAATAGGGGCCTGTTTCAAATTAAAACAGACTTCCCGGAAGGAATCCCCTAGGCAGATCGCCCAAGTGTTGCGTTGCCATAACTAAAACAAACAAACAGCAAGAAAGTATAATATAAATTATATACAATAAATAATATATTACAATACGAAAATTATGTATTTTGTATAACATTTCTACAAAAATACATAAATTTTTTCTAGGTTAATTTTTAAAACTAATTCTTTAAATGTTCGACTAGAGAAGTGTCGATGGTCTGAATTAATTGAGATCGAATATTTTCGTACCGTAATAGTTACGTAATAATAAAAGAGTAAAATAATAGAAATTTACACACACACAAAAAAAACACATAAATAAATCAAATTAGATAATATCTGTCGTTTTTTAATAAAATTGTTGACTACGAGATTTTTTATTCTGAAGTCTGGCAACACTGCATAAAGGAAATTGTGTTTATTTTGGTTACGGTGTTCGTGTTCGAGTGTAATTTCATTTCAAATGGAAAAGAAAAGTAAGAATCATAAGAATATGGGCAAATTTGAACGGGTTAAAAATAATCAATTTGCAGCCAGTTTTCCAAAGCAGTAGATTATTTTAATTTGTTTATTTTTTAATTATGAATATTATCAAATGTATATTTTGTTTTTCAGATTTTAATAAATTTCAAAAAAGTTATGAATGTAAAAAGGAACCAGAATTGGATTGCAACTGTGAGAAAAAAGAAGAATGGGACTGCACAATTCATGGACTCTCTGTTGATGTGCAAGTGCAGGTGAATATTAATCAAAGACTACATCTACAAAATTCTTATGACATGAAGTAATATGAGAATTTTTTATTGGAATGGTATGATGTAGTAATATAAATATCATATATTAATAAAAACACTGTATTTTTTTAATTTACATATATATTTATTTTAAAATGAAGTAACTGTTTTTTTTTTTTTTATCAGGAAGCATTAATTGAATCTGATTATCAGTCCTCGCCTAATTTACCAGAGAATCTCTCCATCCGACCGTCGTCGATACCTGGAGTTGGTTATGGAATTTGGTCCAACACAGAAATTCCCAAAGAAGTTATTTTTGGTCCTTATGAAGTTCTTACGTATCAAAATATCGATTCGGGACAAAAGAGTGAAGTATGCTCTAATAGATGTTTTTGAAGTTATTTATTTATTTATATTTAGTTTTCTATAGCTGAAAATTAGTATATATTAGATCAAATTCTTAAATGCTGAATGATACTAATGAATGAATATGGTTGAATATTTCTGGTTGACTTTGATTTTTTATTGCAGGCAATAAAACATAATTGGTAAAAAGTTAATTACTGAAAATGTTTGCTTTATACAATCTTATTTCAAAACAATTTTGTTTGAATGAAAATATTTAGGCTTATCTTCAATGTTCATTAATTGGATATATCAAAACCAGATTGTTAAATATGTTACATTGGCAGTCAGTTATCGTGTAATTGTTCCATAGAAGCAAGAATAGATTAGTATAATGATTGACACTGCCAAGATTGTACAAAAATGTAATCTTGACAAGTACAATTGCTGTTTTCATTTAAATTCCACACAACCAATTTCTGAAGAAGTAAACGTGTTAATATGACTAGACAGTGTAAGTGTTATCTATAGTATACTGTTTAGCTGCAATAAATGTTAAGGTCAAGTATTTTTGACAGTTCTTTCAGCTAGTATGGAAGCTCCTAGATCTGTTCAAGTTGTAATGTGAATGTGCTATACTTTGAGAATAATAGCATATGTTGCCAACTAGTTAGATAACACAAATGTGCATTACTTTTGTTTGTTAAGTGCTATTTAGAGGAAAAATGGAGCTTATGGAAGAAATGCTCAAAGAGGTATTAATTAAAGGCAAAAAAAGAACATTCTCAAATAGTATACTAGATATCTTCCTCCTAGCATTGAGGTCCTGCTTCTATGCAGGGTCTACTTTCTTGCATGCCCTTCTCCATTTGGTATGGTCCAAGGTGTTGCCGGGGTGACGTTCACCGTTCTCATGTCATCTTGCAGTATACTAGATATGATATGTGTGAAAGTAGCCAAGGTTACGGAGTAAGTAGTACTCGAGTAACACTTACAGGCACTAGTCGGTAAGACCAGCTCTCAGTCGTCCAAAGAACGGCCTTTCCCCGTCGTAGGGAACGAGTGTGGAGGGCTTTACGGTTATATTATAATTTAGAGCGGAAGTTGGTGATAGCGAATTCACCTTCTTCCTTCGTCAGGTTCCCGACACCAGTTTGTCAATTTATAGAGGCGCGGACAAACACGCGATAACGATCTGATTCGGAATGAATTGAGGAGACATTCTTATATAATAAACATAAGTAAAATTTAATAAATCCAAACAACGAATACAGAAAATCAATAACAACGATTATATGACAAGTTAAAGGTTACGACTAAATCTATGCTAATGCGCGATCGAGAGAGAGCTCACAAAATGATTCTAAACATACGACCTGTTAGTTGTCGTCTTCGTTTCTGTAGATATAGGACACCTTGTAGATAGGGTTCATCTTCCTTTCGTATGGGAGATTAATTCGTGCACAAAATATAAAGATATCACTTCTTCTAAGTGTAGACTCGGGACTTAGTCTATCGGACTCCGTTATGGGCGTTGGCCATCAGGAGGAAACGTATGTGGAGTCTGGACACTTTCAAATCGGTCGGAGGACTCCCCGAATTATGACTAATTTCTCCTTTTATTTCCAAACTTCGTCCAATCATCGTATAGTAACTCTTTCGTGAGAACGGATGAGAGGGGGATGAATGAGGGGTAACCATTTCCCATCGGAGCGAGATTTTTAACGGATAAGGGAAAAACAGAGGATGTACGGACTTCCTTTAACGGAAGTAGCATCTGTAATCTATCTTTTCCCACGACTAAAACACCACTTTTTCACCAAAACGAAGTATTATTTTGTGACATTATTTAAGCATATTTAATAAAAATTATTAAATGAGGCCTAGGGCCTTCCGGATCTCACATTTGGTATGGTATAATACAATTTTACTTTGTGTATTTGGAAATATTGGAGCAAAATGTTATTTATTATAGTAAAAATACAAATAAAACATTATAAATACATTTGAATGTTTTTATGTTAATGGTAAATGGTTACATAAGTGTCTGGACAATCATCTGAAATTACTTAGGGTGGAGCACAAATTTCTGTGGAATTTTGTTTTGAGGTACCTGCTGACATGAACCCTCTGAAAAACAATACCCTACTGTAGTTTTAAATAACCAACAACAGCACTTAAGTCTTTCAAATGCTTTTGTTAAGACATTTACATGTCATTTGGTAAATTTATATTTAACAAATCACTTACGTGAATATTTGAAGAAATTTTGAAACAAATTTGGAAGAATTATCAAACAAATAAATATAATTTATTCATTTTACGAATGAATTTTTTAAAATATCTGTTATTTGATGAGAATGCTATTATCAGTATATATAGATTTTAGCGAGGTTGTGGCTGAAGTTTTCATCTCTAAACATGAATGTTGGATGCTGCTATCTTGTAAGTGGCACTCAATATTTGACATTCATGTTGTACAGATGAAAACTTTGGTTACAACCTCGCTTTTGTTAAGTAGCATAAAGTGAAGATTATATATAATTAGTCTATATTGGGAGAAAGTTTTAATATATATAATTTTAGGCTTTAAATATGCTATATAATTTATTTTTAAAATTTTTATAGTAAAAATTTTTAATAAAATTTCTTTCATCAGCTTATAAACACCTGAAATATTAACACCATTCATTAAAAAAGTTCAATAAGTCTGAGATTTATTAAGATTAAATTTTAAGATTTTTTCAAAATTAAACTGACTCATGAATCAATAAAGCATTTAATTTTAAGATTTAATCTTAATAAATTCCAGACTTCTTGATCTGTTTTAGCAATTTACATCTACAATAATATGATTTCTATGTAATATGATGTCTACAGTAATATGATTTCTATGGAGTTGTTTATTAATAAGGAATTGGTTAATTTAAACAATTGCTATTTAAAAAATTGAAATTAGTTGTAAGAGTTTAAAGTGATATCATCTAATGCATGCAAAATAACAAATTAATAATTTGTGGATGTATGAAGAATTTGCACCAAATATTTTTATGAATAAGCAGGAATATTATTTGACTGTTAAAATAGCAACAGTTCATTATTATGAAATCATTTAATAATAATAAAATTCTTTTTATGTTAATGTTTTAAATTTCAAATTAATTTCTATTTATTTATTTTGTATATAAAAATCCAAATATACTTTTTTAAAATTTAATAGGTATCTGTTGATAATTGGATGCATTATATAAATTCAACATGCAATAAACAACAACAAAACCTGATTGCTTTTGAATATAATGGACATTTATATTATCGCACATCTAAAGTAATAGCTCCTGACACAGAACTGCTGGTTTTACATGATGATGAATTAAAGAATAGAGCTAGAGACAAAGGTACAAAAATTTTTAATTACAGTAGTGTGTCGATTATCCGAATGCCGATCAACCGAAATGTCAGTTAACTGAAAGCATTCCAATTGGACTGTCATGCTGAATCAAACGTTTTTGATGCTAGATTAACTTCCAAAGTATTATTTTTTTTGTTTTTNTGATGTATTTTTTTTATTGTTTTTATATTTTTCAATATATTTATTTTTGTACAAAATAAAGAAATAATTTTTAACGATACAATAGCCACAATTATTATTATTATAAAAGTTTTCATTAGGCTTAACATTGATGAACATACAACTTGAAGCGACATGCAACAGAAAAATTTAAACATAGGATATATTAATATACTATTATTGGGATATACTGATATACTATATTATAAATAATAATAAACTTTTTCATACATAATCAGTTATCCAAAAAATCAGTTTTCCAAACAATCCCAGTCCCCAGTTGATTCGGATAATCGACGCTCTACTGTATTTTTATTTTAAAATTTATTCAAATAAATTATTATGTTTATTACATTTCTTAATATTTTATTTTATTTTTTAAATTATAAAAGCTAAGTGTATATTTTGTACATTGTCTTACTATAGTAAAGTCACAGTTAGCCAAAATAGAGTTGAGGTATCTTGGATAATAATAAAAGTAAAGAAACTTGGATAATATGGAATGTTTGATAGAAATCTAGAAATAAGTGTCATATTTTGAAAATATGTTGTTTATTTCTGCTATAAATTTCATAAAATTTTTCTCATAATTTCTTTTAAACACAATATTTTTCATGGGGATCATACCACTTGTAAAAGACTGGGAAAGAAAAGTGAAATGTGTAGGAAAGAATTGAATCCAGCAAGCATAATATGCATATCTTTATGCTTCTATCAAATTATAAGCAATTATTTAAATTGATTGCAAAAAATTTCCACAATTTGATAAGTGATTAAATATTAGTATTTTTATTTCTGAAAACTGTATACAGTGGAACCCCGGTTAACGAACTTTTATTTTGCAAAAATTTTGTCTCGGATAACGAACAAAATTCGGATAACGAACTTAACGGCTTTTTGTGTCAAATTTGTAAGCTCTGATCAGAGATTGTTGATAAACCTATAAGCCTTTCGCTCATAATTTAGCATATTGTTTCTGCTATCTGTCATTTTAGAACTTTAACGATCGTATGTGATGTTTTTATACCCGTCAAATCTTTCCCTTTTTCCGAAAATTTAACCTAGATCGACTGTTTATGAGCACGTTTTCCTATATTTTCATTAAAGAAAACCCATTTTACAAATAAAATTACAAAAATACTGACGTCTAGAACGGATTAATTGTATTTGCATTAATTTCTATGGGAAAAATTGCTTCGGTTAACGAAC